GTGTCCCCGCTGTCGCCCTTCGTGGCCTTCTTCGTTCCCTTCGTGGCCCTGCTGTCGCTCTCTCTCTCTCTCTCTCTTTCGCTTTCGGTTTCGCTCGTCGTCGTCGTCGTCGTCGCCGTCGCCGTCGTCGTCATCGTCGTCGTCACCGTCGTCGTCGTCGACGTCGTCGTCGTCGTGGTCGGTCCCCTGTCCGTCCCTCTTGTGGCCGATCAGCGCTGCCGCTGGCCAGGCCGACGGTCCGCGGCCGCCCCGCCGCTTGCCAGGGCTTGGCCTGCAGGGAAGAAAGGTATACCCCCCAAAAGGGGTACGATCGAAGACGAAGAGGGCAGGTATCGAGGGTATGGGAAGTACGCAGATAAGAGCGAACAGTGTTAAAATGATTGTTGTTGTTGCTGTTGCTTGTTGTCGTACACCCGCGATCCACCCGCGACCCGCGACCCAGCCCGCGACCGATCCGCGACCCACCCGCGACCCACCCGCGACCCACTTGCGACCCACCCGCGACCCACCCCGCGACCCACCTGCAACCCACACGCGACCCAGCCGCGACCCAACAACGACCCAACCGCGACCCAACCGCGACCCATTTGCGACCCACCCGCGACCTGCCCACATTGGTTTAACGATAAAATCGGCACCTGCGGCGAGCTCGTTATATAATTTGTGAAGCTTTGGCGCTTGCGGCGGGCTTCTCCAGGGTCTCGCAGACTGCCGACGTCCCCACCGGCCCCTCACTCTTATCCGCATCTGCGGGGTGATGTTGTATACATATATATATACATAATTACAAAAGTATGATACGTATATACATGTACACACATATATATATACATCTATATATAAGTATATGTACATATGCATGCATGTATATATGTACACACAGATGCAAGGCCGGCGCCTGCTAAGAAGCAGCCTCCTTCTAAGAAGCCTCACCCCCTCCCCCAACCCCCCTGTGCGCGCCGCCAATCAGGGGGCGGCATGCTGAGCACAAGTGCTCGATCGTGGGCTCAGTGGTTCGAGGTTCCGGATTTCCGGCCGTTCCCGACGGACCTCGGCGGTTCCTGTCCGACGCACGTTCCGATCCAGTCCGATTTCCCGATTTGGTGCCAATTGGGGCTGCAGCCCACGCCCCCAGCGCTCCATGCCACGTCTCTCCACCCCAGACCTCGGCCGTCTTGCGTTCTTCACAGACCGGGGCCCATGGAAATCCCGACCCTTTCTCCATGGCCGGCATTTCTTTATCCGGAGCAGTTTGTTGCAGGCTTGGCAAGGCCTTCCGGATGCCAGAGACGGCGAACACATTCCTTCTTTGGATCGCCGCGGGGGTTGCTCAGGAAATAGGGGGGGCAACCATTTGCTAGTGGATTGTACCTGGCCGAACCTAGCGCATGAGTGGGTTTCAAATGCCCAGCGCCATTCACGGTATGGTTGATTCCATTCTAAGCTAGGTTTGGTTAGGTGTAACCCACCTGCTTTCGGTCCGCCTCGCGAGCCTGTTGACCAAGAAAAAAAGTACCCCACCAGCCCATTCAGAAACCATGCCCAGGCGAGTTGCCCTCATCAAGGATGTGGATGGGCATGCAGTAGAAGTAGCGGGCTGGGGAAGCCGTTAGTCGCCAAGAGGGGGAGGATGGAGGAGGACGGAGGAGGAGGAGGAAGAAGAGGAGGAGGAAGAAAAGATGAGGAGGAGGAGGAGGAGGAGGAAGAAAAGAGGAGGAGAAGGAGGAGAAGGAGGAGGAGGAGGAGGAGGAGGGGGGAGGAAAAGGGAGGAGGAAGGAGGCTGAGGAGGAGGAGGAGGAGGAGGACCAGGCTGAGGAGGAAGAAAAGGCGAAGGCGGAGAAGGAAGGCGTGCAGAATGGAGAGAGGCCTCTTGGATGCCCATCTTCGGATGGTTCTTGAGTGCTTCTGCAGGTTCTCTAGGGGCTTCTTGGGGGCATCTTGGCGGTCCTGGGGGCCTCTTGGGGCGTCTTGGGTGCCTCGGGGGAGTCTCTTGGAGCCTCCTGGGGGTCTCTTGAGAGCCACTTGGGGACCTCTCGGGGGCTTCTTCGGGCCTCCTGTTTGCGTCTTGGGTCTCTCTTGGGGCACTCTTCTCTAAACCACTCACGCCCGAAAGGGCTGGTTTGATGATTCTGGACCCCCCTCGGGTGAACCTTGTATTTTTCAATTGAGGTGCCCTTCCTGGGCTCACAACTTGTTTTTTACATAGAAAGTTGTGCGCCGCAGATTATGCCCCTGGCTCCCGAACCCACACACGTTTTCAGACTTTTCGCTCTTCTCTGCTTTCGTGCCACTCATCACGTATATCCCACACCCTCGGTGCCCGCCTTCTTCGACTTAGTCCTCTTGGGGATCTACTTTCACCACCTTCCGAGTGTAGTTGGCGCAGCCCCTAAAACAGGGGAGAGAGAGGAGGAGTGAAGAGGCATGGAGGAGGGATAAGGATGGAGCACTACAGAAATTAACAGGAGGGTCAGGGGCAGCAGCACAAGCGGCAGAACCA